CCGTGACCCTGCGAGTCGTAGGAGGTGACATAAAGGGAAGTCTCAAATCTGAGACAGTAAAATATGGTCACAAGTCCCCAGACACTTGGACCTGAGAAAGACTTCACTGGCAAGGACCAGCAGCATATACAAAGGACAAACCCATCCTCTCGTGAGAGAGGGCACTCCACAAAAACAAGACCGTAACTGTCAAAAAGTAATAAATATCTGGTCATGAGCCCCAGATGGGACTAGATACCAAGACTTACTGACTGACTGACTGACTAACCGCCAGTAGCAATGTGACTTGACTTGACTTCAGTTCTGTTCTGTATGGGAGGCTGTGAAGAAAAGAGTTAGTTCGAAGAGTGCGGGTGTGTATGTAATTATGTGTAATTCAGTGAGACTGTTACAGTTAATGTGTTATAAATCTATCCCCAGGAATCAGATAGTGAAGATGTTATTTATACAATTATAATTGAGAGTGATTAAGATAACTTGTAACTGAATTGCCAATAAATCTGATCATCTGATCTGGGAACCTGTTATTATAGGTTATGACCCAAAATTCATGACAGTATAGTGCATTATATTTGGAATTACCCTGAAATGTATGCCAGTATCATCTCCTTTTCATATGGGTATAATTCGTGTAAACTCATTGTGCAACATATGTGCCATTGAACACAAGGAGTGATTCATCTGATTAAATGTTTAACCTTTAAATGCGAGACTTTTGAAATGGTGGTAAGCTTGAGATGTCCATTCCTGTTAGGGCGCTTAAATGATTTTAAGCATTGTGTTTAAAAATGTTGTATCTAACATAATTTTTATGATAAATGGATGGAATTAACTTTGTTTTTATCAGCAAAGATCATAGTGTCGCATATTGTAATGGAAGATTTGAAAATTTTTATACAAAGAGTTATACTCTATTTTTATTATTTATTTATTTATTTTTTTTTAATTTTGATGCATACTGCAAAGATTTTTCCCCAGTTCGTTGTTCTGAATTATAAATTCATTTCTGTTTGTAAGACTTGACAAATTTTANTTAAGTGCCGAAGTGCCCCATTCGGGCCGGTGATGAGTATGGTCATCATGGCCAAAGTACCCCATTTTGGCCAGTTGGACATTTAAACTCCACTGCTGAAAGTGCGCACACACCGCTAGTAGAAGCGCATGCACAGTCCTAAATATTTATTTTTAAATGTAGTAATTACTAGACAGACTTGAGTAAAACCATAATAGAGGAATTAAGTCCATGATTTATTTTATCCGTCTTCTAGTGCATACATTCATCTATCATCTCTTCTCACTCACTACATGTTTCGGCACAAATGTGCCATCTTCAGGTGCTGATCCAATCCACGACAAACTAGTTCATTGCATGCCTTGTCTATACGTACTAAAATAACTAAAATATATATGATAAATATATATTTTAGTTATTTTAGTATGTATAGACAAGGCATGCAATGAACTAGTTTGTCGTGGATTGGATCAGCACCTGAAGATGGCACATTTGTGCCGAAACATGTAGTGAGTGAGAAGAGATGATAGATGAATGTATGCACTAGAAGACGGATAAAATAAATCATGGACTTAATTCCTCTATTATGGTTTTACTCAAGTCTGTCTAGTAATTACTACATTTAAAAATAAATATTTAGGACTGTGCATGCGCTTCTACTAGCGGTGTGTGCGCACTTTCAGCAGTGGAGTTTAAATGTCCAACTGGCCAAAATGGGGTACTTTGGCCATGATGACCATACTCATCACCGGCCCGAATGGGGCACTTCGGCACTTAAGGTTAATACTGTAGTGGGGCTTGGGTCTATAGGCAACAAGCACATAATATATACAGTTTCTTCAGAGCTTTATTATGATAATATTGAAGATAAATTTTAATGTGTATAAGCTGCTAGCCAGTTGACTATGCCACAAGTCTGAATGCGCAGTTGTGAAAGGTGATGCAAATAGTGTGTATCTCTGCCATTAGACAGGCTCAGCAATTTGTGGAAGACTGTCAGACATCACCCTGTAGAACAAAGGACGTAAACTCAGACCCAGTAGAATGTAGATTATGGTAATAGTGAACACCCAAAACCTGTGTTCCCTGTGTTGATAGAACAGTGGTGACAAGGATTAATGAGTGACTCCAGTGTTAGTGCATGAAACCTGAACTTGTGAGTGGCACAGGAAGGTTGCATCATCTCAAAATGGCAGTGAAGGATATCAGGGAATTCAACCTCAGACCAGGAAGAATTCTACACACATTGTGCACCAGAGACATCATATTAACAAAAGCATTATGGGTATTACTGAGAACCCTAGCCACCAAACAATAAAGAATGATTGGTGTCACTGAACTGGCAGTTGTGCAGGGTGTGAAATCTGGTCCCTGAAATTAAAGGAGGAACATCAGCTGAGGGTGGTTGAGAACACTGTTAGGGAGAATATGTGAACTGAAGAGAGATGAAGTGACAGGAGTTAGGAGAAAACTGAATAATGAGGCACTTCGTAACTTGTATTCTTTTCCAAGTAATTAGAAAGATCAAGTTGAGGATGAGATAGGCAAGGCATGTAGCATGTATGAGGGCGAAAATGAATGCATATAGGATTGTGGTGGGAAAGCGAGATAGAGAGAGACAACCAGGAAATCCTAGACATAGGTTGAAAGATAATAATATAATGGATGTTAGAGAGAAAGGATAGGACTGTATGGACTGGATTGATCTGGCTCAGGATAGGGACCAGTGAAGGGCTCTTGTGAACAGGGTAATGAACCTTCAGTTTTCTTAAAATTGGAAATTTTGAGTGGCTGTGCTGCTGGTGGCTTCTCAAGAAGGACTCAGGTCCATGGAGTTAGTTGTCTGATGAAATTAACCTGTTTGGAGATGCAAGATCTCTCACTTCTTTGTTCAGAATGTTTGAACCTTACATTACCTGACCTTGGATTGAACCCAGGCCACCATGATGGGAATTAAGCAGTCAACCTTCTGGACCATGACATAACCTTAGCAGCTATGATAATGCAAAAGTTTGAATAATGGTGACTGTTTAGTTTTTATGTTCTATGTTTTGGCAAATTTGTTTGGCATAAGTTTGGTAGTATGTGGATGATAGTGAGTTGTTGATCTAGAGGAAGGTATTCAATATGCTTGGTTTGGGCTGTTGGCAGTAAAGCAGGGTGGTACATGGTGAATAATTTTGGGGTCCAGGGGAAACAGGATTTTCGAAAGGTCATGATGCCAATACTGACATCTTTGGGGAAAAATTTCCAACTTACCTTGTGATTGCTGCCTAGCAACAGGTCTAAATGNTACACGGTGCCTAAACCCAGAAGACAACTTTCTTCATTGTCATTGCCGTGAAAACCTCAAAACTTACACAATATTTAACCTATTTATTGACTGAGCTGGTTGAGGCTATTTTTGCTGCATTGCATGTAGTAGTAGTATTACGTGGGCTGCAGATAGATGGCACAAGGTTATGTGCTCAGATTATTTTGCTGGATACGTCGAGCAACCATCCAATGATCCAGCTGCTGGAAGAATTACCAGCTCTACTTGAGAATCCAGGGAGAGGAGAAAATGAAGAAACACTCATCAGTGAATATTACAAAGAGGTAACCCCTCTCAGTCATTTAATCCAATCAGGGAACTGTCCCCCGGCCTTCAACTACACATAGGAAAGCCTAAACAGATTTAACATTGTGTCCACAGCTGAATGCGAATGTGGCAATGGGCTGCAAACGGAGGAATATATCTTCTGGAACTGTAAACAGTATGAGGACCAAAGGGCAACAATGATAGACATTTTGTCTGAGAACAGCAAAAGGCATTACCCCAAATCAGTTACAGAGCTCTTAAGGCTAGAAGAAAAGAGATTTCTGCAAGGCGTCTGTTACTTCATAAACAACATCCCTATATGTATATAAAATGGATATGTAAGAAAAGTAAAATAAGTAATTGTACTGATTATTTACAGTATACACACAGATTCAAGTCAAGATCTATAGTAACAATCATGGGGTTACCGCTAATATAGAATAAGATGTTTATTAGAATGTGCTACAGAAGGCCAGGGGGCACGCGGTAGCGTAGATGGTTGAGGCACTATGCTACAAGCCGGGCCGCGCCATGTCTCAAGTGGTTAGTCGCTGGCTTCCCACCGCGGCGGCCCGGGTTCGATCCCGGGTCTGGCCAAGTGGGATTTGTGGTGGACAAAGTGGCGCTGGGGTGGGTTTTCTCCAAGTACTTCGGTTTCTCCTGCCAATCTTCATTCCACCAAATTCTGTATCATCATAATCACCTGGGGCAGGCTACAATAGGTCACTCAGTGGCCGCCGTGCCGAGTGGACCCAGTTGGACTCCACCCCCCACTAAGCGAATTAAAAAAATGCAACAAGCCGGAAAGTCGCGGGTTCAAGTTCCGATGAGGTCATTGGATTTTTTTTTCAATTGACCTAATCCTTCCGGCCACACAATGGCCCTGGGGTCGACTCTGCCTCTAACAGAAATGAGTACCGGGAATTAATTAAATAATTTTTCCTGGGGAGTAAAGCGCGGTCGGCGCGTAAGGCTGACAACCTTACCGCCATCTTTCAGCCGTTGTCTACAAAATGCGGGATCGCTATGGGCCTTCGCGGCCTGTTAACAGGGACAGCTTTACTGTAATTTTACAGAAGTCCGGATGGGCATTGCCTAGGCCTTTTTTGTATTTACAGTTATTTTCCTACAATAAAAAATGAAGAAAGCAGTCTTCTGGGATTTGGCACCGTGTATATGTGGTGTTAACCGGCGTTTCGG